CATCATTAATACAGACACCAGAAGTGCATTTTTAATAAAACAAGTAATACAATAAAACTATTTCAATACATTCATCACTGGAGTTCAGCAATACTCTGACACTTGTTCCCATCACAGTATCAAACATCTTTATGTTCAGGATAAGGATGACAAATGTGTAAAACGTTATTATCTTTGCCTCGGCACCACTACATTTTTCACTTCTGCACATGATGAATGTTGAGGCTTGTGGATCTCAGAGATATTTTATCTGCCTGACGTATCAGGCTTTCTTTCAGTGCCAAAAAAAAAAAAAAAAAAATCTTCAAGTAACAGTGAAGATTTCCTCCTGCTCTTTTTAGTCTTCTGCATGTTCCTGTACTCCACCCATGCTGTCTTTTTGACAATTAAACCATCTTTTAAACAATCAGATATTCAAAGCTCTACAAAAAGCCCATTTCTAGGCTCATTTTTCTGTTTATAACCAACTACAGTCACACCTGGTGTGATGGCCTCAGCCACACATTGGTAAAAAACCAGTCCACTCACCTCATTGGTTTGGTTTTGCAGTTAAAAATGTATTTCAGTAATGTCATTCATTCATTTCTTCACTTAAACCTAACAGTGATATTATGAAGTCCGCACATAGTAGCGCTGTGTGGTTTCTAAAATGTATTTTGTCAAATTAAATGTATATTATATCATGGTTCTCTTTCTTTTGTTCAACCTGGTTTGGCTGTTTCCTGCCTAAGCAAAAGGCATGACTTTGAAAGTACAACGCCAGCTCAGCAGGACCAACTATGTGCGTGTCAGCAAGGGGGTGTTTTAGGGCTAGTTAGGTTATTTTGTGCTTAGTTAGTGTTTATTTCTGTTTCCCTTATTGTATGTTAACGGTTTGGCCAAACCACTATCCAAGTTACCCTCTTGTGTCTTTGTGTTTAAGTTGTGTATACTTTTTTTGCCTAGTGAATTTTCTGTAAGTCATTTTTTGAGTAGAATCATATTTAATTTAGCTCTTTTATTGGGGTAAAATAAAATAGAACCCACCTTCAGGCTGTATTTCCTGTGTCCTCTATGCCTTCACTGCTTGGTCCCTCACATCTAGATTTAAACTTCTCTGAGAAGTTCCAACGTGATTTTAAATCATGACATAACACATAAACAGCTCTTCTGAGAGTCTTTAAGGACCTGTTGATGCCGGTAATTTGTCTGTCCACGTCCTCTTAGATCTGATTACAACATATGACACTGTAGCTTATTTCTGTCACATCTTGAATTGTGTGTGGGTATTAAAGGTACAGCCCTAAAGCACATTTAGCAGAACATTAGCAGAAGTAATTTTTTCTTGTTTTTACAGGTAAAAGCTTGCATTTTCTAGCATTTTATGCCAGAATTGACCACAAACAGACTTCACCGTGCAAACACAGTCTGGCTGACCATGTCAGACTCCAAACGACTGCAAACTGACTCAAAGTGAACTCACCGTCCAGCTCATCCTGGGACTTCACACCACGTCTGCTGCGTCTTCTGAAGAAGTTTGAGGCATCGGCCTGCTTCATGAAGACCCTTTTCAGTGGACCTGCAGTGGAAGCAGGAGGGAGTTTAGTTCACAGTGTAAAGTGATACACAGGGTGATACGCAGGGAAAGAAACGCAGCTGATGCAGCCCCTGACCTTGAGGATCTTTAGTGCTGCCTGTGCTACCGGGCACAGCTGCAGAGCTGGCCTCCGGAGACCCTGTGTCGAAGCGCAAAACATGAAAGGTCTAAATTCAAAAGGACTCCAGTTTTTCTCATGCCTGCAACCAACTAATAAGACAATTTTTTTTGGTAAAAAATCTCACTCCTGCATCATACTCACATGAAAGTGCAAAAAGCACAGTGAGGAGAGCCAAGAGGGTTGCATACGTCCAGGACATCTTTAAACTCTGAAATACTGAGAGATGTGAGTGATGAAGAAGAGCAGGAAGGAGAGAGGGGAGTAAGACGTATGTGAGAGGTGGGATGGGGCGCCCGGGGCGATATCGACTGCTTCTCAGTGCAGGGAGGGAGTGATCGTGCAGATCTGATAAGGGGCTGAAACCAACAAACATGCCAGAGGGCTTCCAAGTCACAAGAAGGTGCCGAGGGTTTCATTTCAGCTCAGCCAACATGCTGCTTCTCTCTTTTTTTTCTATGAATTTTAGTTGAAATTAAAATGACCTGAAATGACACAATCTATGGAACTATTACATCAGTGACACTTGCAACTGTTTCATTAATAAAGAAGAGAAAACATACTGTAGGTGTAACCAGAAAAATTATAGTCCGGGCTGCTTATGCTCTGGCTTCCTGGATAATATTTGTTCCAGAGACGATGGATGGGAGACAACAAAAATACTGATGTTTCTTTTTTAAAAAAAAGTGACAGAAAACAGTTGAGGCCGGGAGCCGGAGCAGGGACTCCTTGCCAAATGTCTCCTTTGAAACGGGCCCCCTTAACAAGGCCGCTCTCTCTGCTAGGCAAAGAGTTGTGCAGGAAAGTATGCAGCCCTCTGTTTGCTTGAATTTCTTCCAACCTGTACTCTGGCCGGGCCCCAGAAAAGAGTGAATGTTTAAATTGTTTTGAGGGAAAATCCAGGAGTCGGGGGACTGGTGCTCAGAGAGATACGAAGATTCTGGAGTGAGGGTTTTGAGAAGATATGTGGTGAGTGTATTTTATTCAGGTAGGTGTGAAACAGAACAACATAGGGACTGAAGAAAACTGCAACATTAAACAGCAACAACAATGTCTGTGAGTGCATAAGGGGGAAAAAACCCAGTGTGCTGATAATACATGCATTTGGATTATATATTTCTAGACTGTGACTTGAATAATTTAAAGTTTTCTGTGACCTGCTCAGGGGCTACAGCTGCAAACTATTAATTTTGCAACAATCTGGCACGTTTACATTATATTTTTATACTCATGTTTATTACCATGCACCGCCTCTGTTAAATAAATAAATATATTTTCAAAAAATTAAAAAAAAATACATGTGTCTGTGTTTCTTTCCACGCCTTCCTTTACAATATCTGAGCAACTGTGAAAAGATATTACTTCATAGGGCAATTTTCATTCATTTCATTATAGGTACTTTCTCTAATTACTCTCTGCAGACCGTAACTAAAGCTGTCACCAGCAGGAGGCAGAATTTTACCAGTATGTGTGTTTAGATGTTTTCAGTTATATGCTTCCTGCTCCTGGGCTGTTATTGTAAATACGAATATGGTCATAATGTCATGCCTGGTTAAGAAAAATACAAAAATAAAAATCTCACTGCACCATCTTGTGGTGCGGGGTGGAATTGCATGAAAGTACAGCCTGGCTCCAGCTCTGCTTCAGTAGATGTCACTTCATTACAACACACACATTTTGTACATCAAGTCCAGGTATGTAGTGCTATGTGTGATCACATGTTCACCCACTTCAATGCACATAGTTGAGCCTTTGCAGCCATGCTGGCACTTCTTTTTTTCAACTGTTGATCTAGCCTGATGCAGAGCCTAGTTAAGAAATGAAGTGTTTCTGTGCAGTAAAAGACTAAAGGCTTTTAATTTGAAATAGATATAAGCAGTGCCGAATGTCCATAAAGAGCATAATGCAGTAAATTTAATAGCGTGGAAGCAGATCAAAAGAAAATATCTGACGATTTCTTATTTACTCTGTTTTATATCAAACAGGAAGAAAGAAAAGCCTTAGCAGATGAGTGAGATACAGGTCAGTGACCACTGGATAAAATAAAGTGTGTGAAAAAAGCAACACTATTCCTAATTATTCCTCTAAATGAAAAAATGGTTGAAATAAAAGCATTTTATTTGTACTCATTAATGTTGACACCGGCAGCTACGTGCAGTTTGAAAGGTGGGGTGTTTTTTTTTCAGTCCTGAGTCGGTGAACACTTTGAATGTCAATTTAACAGCAGTTTTCTGCGAATTATGATGAAAATTGCAGCAAATAAAAGGAACTTCAGCGACATTATAAACTTTTAACAACTGATTGAACCTGGTGGAGGATTACTCGCTGAGCTTATCATTTTGTCTGTTTTTTCTCTTAAATAACGCAAGAAACCTGTGGATCAAAAAGAGATGAGCCAGTTGATGGAGGAAACCAAATGGCTATTAGAAAAACCAGCAACAGCAGTTTTTGTTACTGCATGACTGGGTTACTGAACTTTAGCTTCCCTTTATGCTCACTGTATTTGATTATTGCAGGGGTATGGAAGGTCTTAATCAAATAAAATATATTTGTTAAACTCCTTTCACTCTTTGTTCCACATTTAATTTGCAGGATCTGGTTTATTCCTGCAGCAGTACATCTATGATCGAGTTTTTCCATTATTTTTATATAAACAAATTTGAAATAAGCATCTTTAATGGATTAGGTCAGGGATTTAAAACTCATTTTACAGTATGGGCTACATACAGCTCACTTTGATTTTAAGTATGCAGAACAAGCAAAACTCCTTTTTTTGTCAGGGTAAAGATGTTTAACATATTTAATCCAACTGATTATAATAAAAAAGTGCAATTAAATGAGTAAATCTGGTTTTCCCCTTGTACAATACAGAAATGCTGCTGTAGTAAATGCAATAAATATGTCAGGAAAAATAAATAATAACAGATAAATTTCTGGTAGCTCACTGCTCAGAAAATGTCCCTTCCTCCCCATGGACCTTTTATAAAAAAAAATATAAATTCTACAATAGATAGTGAACAAACAGGAACTTTTTAAACTTTAGTTGTTATTGCTTATCTATTACTTAATTACAATGATGTTTTATGAATGGCAGTGGCGAAGGTCTTTATCAGTAGGAATTACGCCCTTTTCCAAAGCTCTCCAGTGGACCTGATTGGGTTCTTTCTCGGGCCGATCCGTGGCTCCCGGGCCTTGTGTTTGACACCCCCTACTTTAGGTAGCCTGCTATACAAATATTCTCCAGTAGGGGCCGCTGTAGCTCTGCACTGGCCGCCTTTCGGTCTCTCCTGTGCACAACCATCGAGTGTCGCTGTTTCCCCGCTGACACCTCGACAGCACGGCAGTGTGGTGGCAGGCAGGCAGCGTCAGCTGGCAGAGGACACACTCAGATCAACTAGTAATCGCCGTCTTCCCCCGCACTGCTTACGCTCTCCTCGACTGAAAACCCAACGACAGCACTTCCTATTTTCTACCGGGAGAGAAACTTTGAAGCCCGTAAACAAGCCATGCCGCTGGACGCGACAGCCCCGCGGATATAAGCGACACTGCGGAGCAGAAAGTATCTACGACCTCACCGAAACCACAAAGAAGAAGAAGCAGTCGGTGCTTTCTTTTTTCACACTCGGAGGGAAAGACGGCATCCGGCCTGAGAAGAAGCTCCGAGGTCGGGGACTCCGGTCGGACCAACGCGAATCGTTTCTGGTGAGAGTCCGCACATTTTCGCTGTGGGACTAGTTTCTGTGAACTAAACCACGCAGTTAGAGCAAGTTAGAGGCGCACACAGCCTGAACAACGTAGCAATGTTTACTTCACAGCCGCAGTTTGAATGCAGCGTTTGTTGTGTGTGAGCACTTCAGCCTGCCCCATTCACCGGCGAATGGCCACCTTTAACTAAGACAAACAGCGAGAGGAGCTCCGAGCTGGACGAATAACGACTAAACTACCTCTAGAGAGGGTTATAATTTATCCTCGCTGCCACAGAGAGCTGCTGGTTAAATATCAAGTGTCAGCTTTGTTGTCAAATACCACCAAGAGCAGTTGCTCGTCAGCGAACTGTGTGAGGCTGGGGTTGTAAAAAACAGGAGGATTGACTGGCTGCTGTGCATGTATCGTCTTGCACAGTCACTGCCCCACATTTCAGAGATGCCCAGTCTTTCTGCTCCACGCCCCCCACCCTCTCAAACTACCTGAAGCAGGGCGCAGACCGTACTAGTCTCTGAGCTCACTGACAGCCATTACTGACAGCTTTAAGCCGTTTCAGCTGTTGTTGTGTGAAGGCCAAGACAGCAGCAGACAGGAGCCTGCACGGAAAATGGTTGGAGAAACACCACTGCAGTTTGTTTTTTAGGGATCTCACCCTGAAATTGAGCTTCCAGTGGGTTTCTATGGGGAGTTTACCCGATTGTCATTGTGTAGCAGAGAATAATTGTTTTACAGGGAGACAGCATTGTTACAGCAAAACACCCCCTAAGGCACGTTGATTTCTGTGTGAAAGCACCCAAGTTGTCACCAACCTTACGGAGAGTGTGCTGACTGAGAGTACATGCTAACTCTGTATAGTCAAAGTTAATGCATCAGTCCTGCAAAACCAACCTCACTGCGGGCTTATTTCTGCTGGAAGTAAGAGAAATCCGGGGGATTGACTCTAATTAAGCTTTTTGCAAATGCAATGGAGTTTAAAGCATTTCAGACGGAACTTAGATAATAATAGTCGCTTCACTAACAGACCTATCACGGGTGCATATGGGAATATACCAACTTTTATGTAAAAAGTCAATCAAACTGATGTTTAACACTCATGCTTATGTCAGATTGACTCTGGAAAACAAATAATAACTCAATAAAAGGCGGTTATTTTTTAAATCCATGGGTATGCTCAGCACCTAAAATTAGTTTAATTTGTACAAGTGTATATAGAAATATCTGAAAAATATTCTCGTTATTGTTTTTTAGCACCTTTGCCAGTAAATGTTGTGCATTTCGTGTTTCAGTAGCTGAAACAGCTCACTGTTTCAGTTTTAGATTAACACGAGGAGCCGCTGCTTTCAAAATGGAACTTTATTCAGCACAGTTTTAGAAAAGAAATGTCTGTTTTACTTTCAGGCTTGGCACGCTTCAATATTGAGCAGCCAAAAACATGTGGCCACAAACTTCCGGGACAAAAAAATGATGATTGAGGTCACTTCTGACTGATTTTAGTGATACCCTGCAAAAAACAAACAACACAAAAACAGTGATATTCCACAACGTTTACAGTGTTTACTGATGGCTGCCACTTTCTCAGTTTCCTGTAAGCAGGTTTCACTTTGACAGACTCAAGCTGCTGAGCTTCCTCGAGCCACGGGTGTCCCTGAGGACCTTTCGAAAGTGTGTCTGCTTCGGGTTCGGTGCCCGCAGGTGGTCAGGGAGCTGCTGGAGGACAGTGTGCCCGAGGGTTGGCTTGAAGTGGGGTCGTTCCCTTGGTGAGGGCCGCGGGGATGGTGGCGGCAGGGTAACGTGATCCGCTGTGAAACAGCTGTAGCCACTCGGTGCTGATCCCTTGAGTCCCAGTGCAGATCAGATGATGCTCCAGTATGTGAATGGGTGGGTGTGTGAGAGAGAGCAAGGACTTGAATGCATGGGTTTTCATGCCTTCAGGGCATCAAGTCAATGCTTAAAGTCAATTTAAACCAAAATTCACTGACTTTTTGAGAGAAATTATTTTCGTATCTATTCAGTGTTTTGACTGATGGAAGAAGTCGTTCTTACCGATCTTCTCTGTGTGTTTTACGTGTGTGTGTGAGCTCAGGTTGAAGCAGCAGGTCAAGGCAGCTGGCTGAAGGTTAATGTGTCACTGCTCTCTAGGTAGCAGCTGCAGGCACCGCTCCTGTCTATAGATAGCCACGAATACAAACTTTACTTCTTTTCTCTGCTGCGTTAACATAAGAGCTGCGGTGCAGGCATGCAGCCCCAGAAGACAAATGCTGATCCTTTCGAGTTTGACCACTTCCACACCCTCATTCTCTGTCTGTGTCTGAATCTGGAAGTGCCTGTTAATGCTAAAGACCCCTCTCCCCTCCTCCTCCTTGTCCAGCTTGGAGCCAGTTGGCTGAGAACCTGTGTGAGCTATATCAGTAATACCTTACAGCACATATCTGGGTCATCATCTGTAGCATTCATGTCTGAAACAGGTGAGGGACAAATATTGCCCCCCCCCCCCTTTTTTTTTTCTCCCTATCATTCTTGGCAGAACTTCCAGGAGCTGTCTAAACACTTGTTTTCTCTTTATTTGGAAGCACACATGTTCATTCAAAGTACTGCTGCAGAAGCGTTGCATATTTGAGATGCATGTGTTCACGGAAAGTTGTGACGGCTTTAACAGAAATCCAAGTGAAAATGCTGCTGTTGGGTTTTTTCCTTTGGGGGGGGGGGGTTATTAGCCAAATCTACCCCCTGCCTCTCGGGCCAATCAAATCTCAGCTTGGTTGTTCCTTCTAATCAGGGGCAGACTGCCGCTCAACACCTAATAAATAAATAAATAAATAAATAAATGTTCTTCTCTCTTGTAATTAAATTATCACTATTCATTATAGATTAAAGCAGTTTTCAACAATGACAACAAAGAATAAGCAAAGAAAAACAGACAGTAGGTAAAATTAATATTTTTTCCCCCTACAGACAGTTTTTTAGGCTGATGTGCAAGATGACTTAATTCAGAGGCTGAAGGTTCCGATGGGAGACAGAGAAATATTGTTTTGTTATCCTGCAAAACTACTTAAAATTACTTATAATATAGTTATTTCTTTGTTTCCTGCAAAAGCCTGTCTTGTTATCACCTTATTGCAGTGTGCCTGACTTTAAGTATTTTATGTAAATATACTTGTTGTAAGTTGAAACAAAATACATTGAAATTCCATGTAATTAAATGTGTATTACACCCTTAGATGTGGGCCGTATTTTAAAGTGTTACCAAAAGTTTACATAATGTCTGGCACTATGGATGACATGCTACTAGATTGGTTATCCTCTGATTCATTTGAGGCAAATTTGTTTCCCTTTAACCTCCTAGGACCAGGCGTCCACATATGTGGACATCACATTTTGGGTTATTTAGACCAAAATACAGAATTTTGCTCTACAAGGGCCTGATATCCACTTACGAGGACATTATACTGCTACCTTTCTATCAAAATTTTAATATCCTCATATGTGGCTCTCATTTTTCTTCAAAACAAAAATAAGGCAAAAAAAAAAGAATCTGGTAATTCTTTGTTTTTACATTCATCGGGCCCCAATATGTCCAAATATCAAAGAGAAATTAAAAATGCATGCAGTGGAAGAGTTCGGGTCTTAGGAGGTTAATGAGAATTTATCAGTGCTTCGTAATGGTTTGCAAATTATGAAACTACAATACAGCTTCAACACTAGCAGAAAATAATTAGTTGAAAAAGGTATACTGCCTCAAACTACTGCCAAGTTTTGCTCGGCTTCTCTAATACACAACAATTTCTGGTATGTGGGCTGCATGAAATTACTAGAAAGACTTCTAGCTGAGAGTTTGTGTTTGCATTTTGATATGGGTCCTTCCATGAAAAGTCAGTGAGTCTCACAAAATTTTACCTCCATACTGTAAATATTTTTTGTGTTGGAGGTTTTGGAAGTACATCAGGGTTTAGGGACTGAAAAACACAATTGAACTCTGCTGCATCCAGATCAACTCCAAATGTCACAAGCTAAAGGCAAAAAACACAGTTTTGCACCGTGATCACCCCTGAGAATCGGTACCATGGGATATATCATAGCTTCACTGCACCATTTAATGCCATGGACAGAAAAATTACATTTTTGCTAAACTTTCAAAGGTCATATCAGCATGTGGGTTAGGGGTTAGGGGTCTGGTAAAACCAGGTTTAGCATATGGACGCTCTCACCTTCTAGCTGTGATCGTTTCCTTTTCTTTCGTACCTGAGCAGCTTTCTAATGTTGTCACTTTGTCTCACTCTCAAACACCAAGTGTAAAAACGTAATCAAATCACGTTGAGCTTTTTTATCTTCCCTGATAAGACTGATTATATATAAAAACTAATATTGTGATAACCCCATCCTGCTGTCTGGGCTTAATTAGATAGTAGCCAGCTCTCTTTTAATAGCCATGAAAGGCTTTCAGGAGGTGGATGAGTACAGATGGGCAGTGAGGGGGAGGCTGACTGTCACTCTCTCTGATGCTAATGCCTGCCAACAAAAAGACAACAGGTGACTTGAGTCAGCCTCAGATCAGATGAGCCCACTCCATTATGAACAGAAGTGGGTAATAACCACGTACGAACAAAAGGTATCGATGTGTCTAAAGCGTTCAGTAAATTTTTAGTTTCATAATTTGACTCAAGTACAACATGTACTGCGATTACCTGTGCAGGTTTACTGTTTGTGTAAGTAGAAGAAGCTTCTTTCTGCTGCTCCCTTTAGATTAAATAATACTCCGATGCGGACACAGACAGCTGGAGACCCGATGGCCGAGTAGGCGTTCTTAAGTTCGCCGCCTGGGGCGCATTTATAGTTGGTGCATTGTAAAACGTTGATTATACTTTCCACACAAAATTTATGGGATCCAAGCAGACTTGTGGACAGTGTTAACCGGGGCATCATTCACAAGGGGTTGCCACGTGTTTTGATTGTGTACGTACAACCTCAGAAGGGATCTGTGTCTCCTCCAGGGATTTTCC